CTTGAGTGACTTTCAGTAGTGATCATGTATGTATGGGCGTAGGTCTCTGAAAAGAAGGCTAAGGATTGGTGCACTTCCAAAGGGAACATACCTTACTTTGAGACATCGGCGAAGGAGGACATAAATGTAGATGCTGCTTTCTTGTGTATTGCAAAAGCTGCATTAGCCAATGAGCATGAACAAGACATGTAAGTTCTTGTTTATGTTGTCATATATGTATCCCATTTTGATTTGATGAGAAAAACTATATATTTTCATATACTTCGCTTGCAATCGTTTTAATTTTTATTTGGTAAATAAATGGTCCATTTGGAATTTGAAGGAGAGAAAATGTGAAGGAGAAGTAAACCTTGGTTCAAACTCAACAAACTTATTTTTAATATTCGCTCAAAACTTCGAACTTGTTTTATTTAATAAAAACTATAAAACTAAGTTATCTAAACATAGGTAAAAATTAAAAACAATAATCTAATTTGATTTTCCTTTTCATTTTCGGAGTAAATCAAACACAACATGTTTTCTCCCTTTTCACCGTTTACCGGGATCAGAAAACAACTTAAGAATTTATTCCAAAATGGTGCATATTTTTGGTTCCACTATAAGCTTTAAAACATCTTCGTGGTTCATCTTGCATCGTTGCATTCATTTTGAGACAAGTCAGACAACTCTCCCCTCCCCCAATGCTTTGACAGTTTTACCTATTAGCAACTCCAACGAATATCTCCAATTTTTCCCCAAAGTATTTTTACCAAAAATTTTCAAAACATTAGCTACAACCTCCTCTTCCTTCATCCTATCTGTATGACCAAAACCAGTCTGGCTGGGTCAACCTGTAAACTGGTGACCGCTAACAAGACCGTACAGGTTAACCCCTAACCTGCAAAGAGGATAAAACCTAAAAGTATAGCTTATTTGGGTACAAACCCTTCCCGGATTTAGAACTGTTAAGCCTGATTTGTCTAAAACTGGTTTGAAAAGGGTTACAAATATACTCCGGAACATTATATGTTTCCGATGCTTGATTCGTTATTGGTCAATGTTGACTTGGTCTAATCTCATTTACATGTGATGTACTCATTTGAATGGGCTGATTCCTTGCGAGGTTTAGACCATATGGCTCTTATGCCTTAAATTAACAGTTTAATCTTTCTCTAACTTAACTTACACAAATAATGACTTATACCTTTTTCTTTCGCTACTTTATAGCCCCCTCCCGTGGGTCCTTCTTATGAGTCGCCTTTTAGAAGGGGTTAATAATCCTTATATGGCATTCTGTTTTTCTTTGGATTTTCCATGTTTGTATTGTTTTTATTATTATCGTTGCTATTATTTTCATTGCTTGTGTGGGATACATAATAAGTTCATCATTCCGTTGTATGAGAGTAAATAAATACTACGTAATATGTTCATGTTTATTTTTGAAGGATTCATTTATGACTCATAATAAAATGGATTAAAATGGAACGTCAAGATATATCCCAAAAGAGACTATTGTTTCCTGAAGGTGGAACTTTTTTAAAAGGGCAACGTATTACTCTTGTGATTTAGCAGCCTGCAGCCCTACTTGTATTTTTATATTTAACCCTTTTATTTTTGAAGTGTAATTTAAATACTTCATTAACTTTCTTGGAACTATTTGTTTGTTGGAAAACTTAGATTGAATTCAAGTATTCAATGAAAATTAAATTCTTTTATTGAAACTGGACTCATCAGTGAGTATTCAAAGTTGTGGGCCCATTTCATTATTTTAATATATCTCGATCCCCAATTTTACTCATAATGCTGGGGACTTTTGCTTACCAAGTAGACTCGGCAAACCAAGTCCTCCACTGGACCAGATAAAATGAATTTCTTCTTGGCTAGAACTGGAGATTGAGCAGAATTGGCGTGTCTGTTGCAGATGGTCTGGTAAATGAGCAGTGAGAATGTAAAATTTTATTCATGAAAAGAAAAGGTCTTTACAGGCAGGCAGTAAAATAGTTGTTCAAGAAATAATAGGTTTGGAGTGGAATAAAACTCTTAGTTGTTTTTACCCCCAGACTTTGCAGCTTAAGTGCAACAACTTTACAGCTGATTGGGAAGTTATGAAATCCATATATTACCCTTAACATCTGTGACCATGATGAAATCCTCCTACACGAGCTCTTTAATGAGAGTCATGTAGAAAAAAACAGAATTTCTTACCAGAATATGTCTTGGGTTTGCCGTGTATAGGGTATAATTTTTAGTTCTGTGGTATGAAATCGTCAGTACATTTGATGAGGACAGTGGCATTATTTTGAAACCCTTCCAAGGAACCCTAGCTGCTGTGAATAAATTGTTTCCTTTCCTGTGCAAAGGATATCTTACATCTACATTACAACCAAGCACTGACTCCCTTGGGGACCAGGGGATGGCCCTTGCTCCCCAAAACTACTTTTTTCTGAAGGGAATGCCCTAAACAAAGAGTAGTTCTTATGATCAATTATAGCCTATGTATCCGGGAGGAGCTGATATACCCTACATGGGACTACTGCTGATTGGGAAGTTCAATCAATGGGCTAAAATAAATGGCAAAATTGACAACTTTACTCTGCTTAAATAACCCTTATTAATGGAATTTCCTTCCAGAGATATACTTATCTCTTCAACAAAAGTTTTCTTCATTCATTTCAACAAAGAGTAGTCATAGAATCATTTCTTAATAAATTCGTTTGCCATTGTATGCAATGAGATAAGGATAGGATGTAGTAAATGAACCACTGTTTTTCATACTCAGTTTTAGCTTTTATCATTGAAAGCCATACAATTTCACTTGTCTTTGGCACTTTAGTTGAAACAAATCGATGTACTCAAATGTTCCCAGCTTGTACAATAATTGAACTCAATACTGATCTTGCTCCGCAGAATTAATCATCAAAATATAACTAGCTATCCTTCTAGTTAAAGATTCCAGGCATAAATCTGAGTTTCTATAAGTGATTCTGTTTTCATGGTTGCCAGATACTTCCAGGGAGTTTCGGACGTGTCTGCAGATAACGAGCAAAGAGGCGGTTGTGCATGCTAATACAGATAGAGGAGAATGATGAATGGTTTGATCAATTTAGTTTGATCCATTTTTTGTCATGAATCTCTCAGACTCACATTCCATTTCTTTTATTTGGGAGAAGGGGCAGCCGCTGTATACTTGGCTCTTGTGATTTGAGCGTTTTGCATATCTTATATTTTTCACACCCACATTTTTGCAGCAGTCTGCAATCATCTAAAGCAATCATTGTTTGTAGTTTTATTCTCAATTTTTCTTAATAAATATGGGTTTCAATTTTCAAAGTTGGAAAGTCTTTTCCTGACCAACTACACGAATTGTGATAGGGTTTACTTCATCTATTATTCAGAAAATCATGATCCTGCTTGCAATTGTTTTTAGCCTGCTTTTCATTTGCCATAAGTTCATTCAATTCCTTTGCACAGGTAAGCTTAGTGTGGGTTGGTGGGTATGTATAAACGGTGATCAACTGTCTATAGAGGCCGTTTGTTTTTCAGCGGCTTGATATCAATACGCTACCAAATGTACCGTTCGGCGTTTCCTAGTTCAAAAAAGTCGGCGGTTTCTTGAAAATGCCATATACCAAACGGAGCCAAAGTAACGTAGGTGGGGCAACGTCTTATTATCTAAAGAACAAACATTTTGTATACACTATTACTGTTGTACACACATACCACACAACTAAAAAAGCAATTCGATCAAAAAGGCTTTCGGCGCAAATAAGGCATAATTAAATAGAGTGTCGAAGTTATTGACACGGTAATGGTAATTAGGACGTTTGTTTTGGATTTGTTCTAGCTTGACATTAGGCAGTAGGCACTAAACAAAAATAAAATACGTACTTATATTAGATATTTCTTGGACTTACTGACTAGAATGTTTAATTGTATATACGTCAGGGGTGGATTTGGGCCGGGCCTAGGCCCGGGAGGGCCGGCGGTTCAGGATTGGTGGACCCGTGACCGGCCCGGTTAGCCACCGGGTCTGGTCCGGTCCGGGTCCAGACTGGGCCTCCGGTTTGGTTTTTTTTTTTTTTTTTTTTTTTTTTTTTGCTTTCCTAACCCCCCCCCCCCCCCACCCCCACCCCCAAACCCCCAAACCCCTCCTAACCATCAAGCCCCACCCGGTGGGAACCCCAAAAAATGAAAAAATATATATATCAATTTGGCCCGGACCTGGGCCCGACCCGACCGGGCCAGTTCGCCAAAAGTCCAGGTCCGGGTTGCAAAATATCAAATTGTTTAACTCTGTAGTTCGTACTAATTATTCTGAAGTATTACCCCTGCTCCGTTCAAAGGTTCTCATTGCAAAATAAAATGACACGATTATATAAACAATAGTTAAATATATTAATCAAGTATATTTTGAAAAATAATTTTGATGATATACAATATAAATATAATGAGTTATTGATAATAACTGTGGTGTTATAAATATTATTTTTAATAATTGATTATTAAATCAAAATTTAAGATGTTAATTGTTTTCTAAAATACAAAATGAGACGTCGAGAAAAGATAAGGGAAAACTTTTCAATGAGACAAAGGGCATATCTTTTAATATGCAATCACTTACGAGTTACGATTAAAGTTTAAAATTCTGTTTTATTAAAAAAAAAAAAAGTTTTGAAATTCTGTTTGTAAAAGAAAATACTCCGCAACTATCAACTAACAATAATCGTTATATACACTACGTAGACTCCCGAATGTTCTCAACTACCTAAGTACATATACGTATATTCTCGGTATAAAATATAGAATGTACTCCGTAGCAAGACTATACTACCTCCGTCCCAAAAAACTTTTCCATTTTCAAAACTTTGACCAATTATATCTTTTTATTGAAAATTATTTATAATATAAAAATCATATGAAAATGTTCTTTGTTAAAAGTACTTTCATATAAGTATAAAATTATTAACTTCCATGATATTATACTAATCAAAACCATGGTTCAATTTTTTTGAAATGGCAAAGTTTTTTGGGACGGAGGTAGTATATATCAATCCAGCTCCTGGTTTAATTTGGCAGCGCAGCGATGAAAAGAATGTGGATTATTTTGATCCCTCTGCTCTTACTCCTCCGAGCTCCGCACGTGTGCAATGGCGGCGTCACGAGCTCTTACAAGAGAAAACCCGAGCCCGCCGTCGAGATACCGGTCGAAAGCTTTCCTCCGCCGCCGGGCGTCAATGTGCCCGAACAGGTTCATATCACTCAAGGAGACCACGAGGGGCGGAGCATGATTGTCTCATGGGTCACGTCCAAATCGCGGCACCCCAATTCCGTGAAATTCTGGAAGGCGGCGCGTGGCGATGCTGAGGCGGCGCCCGTCAAACGTAGGGCGTCGGCCTATTCCACCGCCACTTATAAATACTACACGTACACTTCCGGTTTTATTCATCACGCGCTCCTAAAAGATTTGGAGGTTTTTTTCCTTCTACTTTTCATTAGTTTTTTTATTGTTTTTGAATTAAGGACATAAGTATTGCTCCGTATTAAAATAAATACAGTAAACAAAAATGTGAGATTGACTATAAAAATTGTTAATTGATTACTGTAGATTATTTTTAGCAAATAATCTACATATTAAGAACTACTAGTATATTAAAAGTTTATAGAATAAAAAAAACTCAAATTTAATAACAATTAAATCTGCTGGTCTGGTCTGTTTAAGTGATTGCAATCACTTAATATGTAATCGATTACGATGTAATCGATTTAATTGTTAACAGCAGATTTAGTTGTTTAAGTGATTGCATATTAAGTAATTGAGTTTTGTCTGGTCAATTGGATGTTTTCTTTTGGATTGAAATTTGCTGGTCTGGTCTGTTTAAGTCTGGTCTGTTTAACTATGAAAGTCTGGTCTGGTCTGATTGTTTAAGTCTGGTCTGGTCTGAGACTGAAAACAGTCCAAAAGAAAACATCCATAGTGCTCATGATGTTACACTCATAATAAATTTAATCTTATTGTTTCTTCGTAATATTTATTTTTTATTTGATTGTAATTATTCCGCAGTTCAATACAAGGTATATATATGAAGTTGGGAATGCAGATGTTAAGAGGCGCTTCTCATTTACAACACCTCCCAAACCAGGACCAGATGTTCCTTATACATTTGGAGTTATTGGTTAGTTTCTTAACAATAATTCCGTATTATTTTCACTTGACTTTATTAGTTAATTGTTTATGAGAAAATTTGATTTTGAACTCCTTTTTTTTTAGTATTATTCGACTTTGAGCCATATCGTAGATGTATGCACTAAATTTTACTATAAAATCATTTTACTTTACATTTTATTCTCATTTTTTTTACCACAACAACATCATCAAAGTCTTAGTGCCAAAAGATATTGGGGTCGGCTAATATGAATCGATACATGATATCACCAACAAAAGGAAAAGAAAGAAAGAAAAAAAGATAAGAAAAAGATAAGCTATTATAAAAAAGATAATATAAAAAGAGATGAATATACCTAAAAATAATAAAAATAAAAAAGATTAAAATAATGTTTATATATATAAGGAAAAAAGGATAAAAATAAAAAAAAAAAAAAAAAACAAGAAAAAATAAATGAGGAGAAAAGATAATATGATATCACTCCTCCCCTCCTACGAATCTCGCCCTCCAGTTGCTCATTCAAAATCCAATATCATCTCAAATACGGAGTATAAGGCTTTGTTTGCAACCATTTGTGCTTAAATAAAAATACTTTTGGGGAAAAAGTGATTAGTAGTATAAGTTGGTAGTGTTTGGTAAAATAAGTGCTTTTTGTGTAATAGAAAAAGTAAAAAGTATATTCTACACAGAAGCCGAGATAGTAAAAGTTAGTAGTGTTTAATAAAATAAGTGTTTTTTTCTTAAAAAAAAGTTAAAAGCACTTTTTTAATGGATTGCTTGCCAACAGACCCTAAATATGTAATCTAAAGTCCAAATGAAGATCCTTGTATGGGGGTCTGTTCCTTTTATGGGTGCTTTTTAAATAGATAATCATAAACAATAATCGGAAAAGGTATAAAAGTCCAAATGAAGATGTATCAAATCTTACTCCGGGGGTCCACACATTACTGTCCACCTTTTTTAGGCAGGACTCACCCCCACATGCATTAGGCTCCAAATCCATAAAACAACACATGTCAATTTGGAATTAGTACTCCGTATATCTTATCTTGAGTGTTGTCGGTTGATTTTTATTGAATTTGAATCTAAAGATTTATCATAGAGATTTGAATTCAAATCTAAGGATTTATTCATTACGAGTATTATGCAACTTTTTACTACTAGAAAACAATGATATTGATAAGGTCATAAGGACATATTTTGGCACAGAGCTGTGCCAAATATGGGTGACAAAATGGCATTAACATGGAATTTGGCACGGATTTGACGTATCTATGTCAAATCCGTGCCAAATACCCTATAAATTATGGGTGTACGTACATCCAGCCAAATTATTAAATTTGACTGGTGGGCTCCCAGCGAATCGCGGCCACAAGGAACTGAATTCCTTCACTAAAAAAAATTAAAACCCCAGCGGGATTCGATCCCGTGACATGAAGTAGGATAAGCGGCCTTCCAACCATCTCGCTGACTTGTCTTGTTGAGATAATCAGTTCATTTATTTTACTTATCCTATATAGTTTCATACTGCGTATAATTAATAGTAATTATAATATTAACTATTCTTTTGCTTTTGCTCATTATTACTATATTAAAAGACTAATTCATATTTTTGAAGTATTTATTTGATCTATGAATCATACTATTACTTTATAAACATGTTTATAATTTTTTTATATGGTGTTAGTGAGATGAAAATCACGACTTCTAGAGATTGAGTAATAATGAACTTTTAATGAGCACCAGACCTATTCTGTTGAGCATACTGAATATACAAATTGATATTTAAGCATACTCGAGATTTTAAATGAGCTTTTAAATTTTTTCTATGCTCATTTCGTAAATTAGATATGCTCATTTGATATTGGTGTAATGCTCATTTTAAAATGAGCATTACACGAGACAACTTAAATGTCATATCCATGCATATTGGCGTAATGCTCATTTTGAACTTTTTGATACTCATTTCACGTTTTATATATTCACATTTAATATTTGAGCATCAAACATCCGCTATTGAGATGAAATTCACGGTTTCTAGTGAATGAGCAATAATAAACGTTTAATGAGCATCATACCCATTCTGTTGAATATTAGGAGTCTAATATTGAGAATTTTGATCTCCGCTTCATAACTTCTAATTCACTTTCTTTTTGTTATTTTTTCTTTTATAAAATTTTATTAAATTATATTTATAATCAACTCCTGTGAATTTCAATATGTGAATTAATGTAAACTAGTACTTTAAAAAATGCATCGATATGACATTTAGAAAATGAGCATAAAATCTCTACCAGATGAGCATACGTAACTTACAAAATGAGTATTAATGAATTTGTTAGCTGCTTTGTTATTTGAACATCACGACATTTTCATTGAGTATCAAACATCCTCTATTGAGATTGATGATAATCACAATTTCTGTAAAATGAGCATTAATGACTTCTTAATGAGGATTCGACCTATACAAATGAGCATGCGTAACTTACAAGATGAGCATCGATATGAACATTGTAAATTTTTCGTTGAACATTTTACACTCGCATTGATATGCCATTTTACATCTGAACATAAAATTAGTACCAAATGAACATGTGTAGCTACACAATGCGCATTGATAAAAAATCGTGTTAATTGGACATCACTATATTTTCATTGAGCATCAAACCTCCTATATTGAGATGAAAATAATGATTTGTATTAAATGAGCATTATGAATTTTTAATGAGCATCAGACCTATACAAATGAGCATATGTAACTTACAAGATGAGCATTGATATGGAAAATATAAGTTTTATTCGTTGAGCATCAAGACATTTTCAATGAGCATCAAACCTTCGTTATTGAGTATTAGAATCTGCGATTGAGTATCATGATTTGTGGTCTCGTGTCTATAATCAACTCTTATATAAATCTAATAATGTAATATGAGACTTTTGAAATGAGCATTGCTAAAACATTTTAAAAATGAGCACAACAGATATACTAAATGAGTATACAACATTTACAAAATGAGTATTCAAAAATTCAAAAGCTCATTTATGTATGTTCATTTTTAGACGTTTTACTCATTTGAGTTTAAGGTAAAACTCATTTCTAATTTGCTTAGTATAATGTATAAAAAAGAAGAACTAAACAACAAAAGAAACGAAAAGAAACAAAAAAGTAAAAAACAACCCTAAAACGTAACAATCAAAATGGATGGCGGCAGAAAATAGAAACGAAAGGAAAGAGGATGACGGAAGAAAAGAAAGGAAAGAGGATGGGGGAAGAAAAGAAAGGAAAGAGAACACAGGAAGAAAAGAAAGAAAAGAGAACGGCTGAAGAAGAGAAAGAAAAGACAAATGGCTGCCACGTCATTTAAAAACCGGGTGTACATACACCCGGATGTATAGTATAATCTGCGCTACTCCATTAATCCCATAATTAAGTTCATTTTGATCTTTCAAATCTAACTTCGTTATGTTTGGCCAGTAGTTGCTCAAAAACTATTTATAGTATGAAAATAATTTCGAATTCTTTCTTTTAATTAAGCTACTAAACTTGTGGATATATCATATATATGGATGTAAAATTACTACACGGCTACACACACCTCTCATGTCATATCCTCATATGAATGTTCTCGGTTTGATGATTTACAATAAGGATATACGAGTATTAGTCGTAGTAGCAGTATTTGAGAAGTTTAGGTAGGAACTTTTTTAGAATTTTAAATACGAAGAGTAGAATTGTAGAATTTAGCCAATTTTTCTCTTGTAACTTAATTGAGAGTACAAAAATGGAAAATGCTTAGTGTACATGACTTGTACACAAATTGTACACAAAACCCCCCTAGTTGCCTGCGTACACAGGCAATTCGTTTAAAAGAGGCAGGATTTCATATCAAATTGTCTGTGTACAGGCAGTGTACACATTTTGTGTACAAGTTGTGTACACCAAGAATGGTCCGTACAAAAATATAAGGATCACATGCGTGTTTTATATCGATTTCATCATTTGAAATACATAATGCAGGGGATTTAGGGCAAACAGAAGCTTCAAATCAAACATTGGAACACTATGTGGCTAATCCAAAGGGTGAAGCAGTGTTATTCGTGGGTGATTTGTCTTATGCCGATAATCACCCTAACCATAACAATGTAAAGTGGGATACATGGGCTCGGTTTGTAGAGAAGAGCGTCGCATATCAACCCTGGATTTGGACCGCCGGCAATCATGAACTCGACTTTGCTCCTGAACTCGTAATTCATTTCCCTAAACCCCACTCTACATACCTTTTCAAGTCATTAGAGCATCTCCAATACAACAATATGCGCCGTCCACATGTATCATGAGATATATAGACACAGAAAAATGATGCATTCACATTTACAAGTATCTCTCTTTCTTTCTACAGTTTATATACTTTGGTAACTTTTTCATAATAATGTCTACCACAATGTCTAAATCTAGACATCCGTCTTGATATTGTGGAGAAAATTGCCAATCACAATGTCTAAATCTAGCATTCGTCTTACTATTATGGAGAAAAGCTTACTAAAAACACAAAAACACATAAGACCTTTCAAAAAGGACATTAATATTTATGCATCTCTCTCATGTCACATATGCACAATGGACATTGTGACATTAGAGATGCTTTTAAAAGAATAGTTGGTGCATATTGGCCTCGATCTCCATAAGGGTAGGGACCGATAAGGTTCCCATTATTTTCACTATATAAGGGGGAGCCTGCATTTGTCATTTTGATAAGAGGCCGCTTCAAGATATGATTGAACTTGTGATACCTCGGTTAATGTTTAAGCGTAGTGTATTTATATGATTCACTCTTAATGTTTAAGCGTAGTATACTTGTTTAACTCATTGTTCATTGTGTTAATGTTTAAGCATAGTGTGTATAGTTATTGTTTAACTTAGTTCAATCCAAATTCCTGAATCCGCCTTATCGATCTGTCATACAACATGATACTTTTATTCGTTAATTAATTAATGTTATTTCATATCGGAAAAAAAACTGCAGGGTGAAGACACTCCATTTAAGCCATACATGCATAGGTATCATGTGCCGTACAAGGCATCCGAGAGCACATCTCCTCTATGGTATTCCATCAAAAGGGCATCAGCTTACATTATTGTCCTCTCTTCTTATTCTGCCTACGGTAATTATATATTAATCATCAAGCGATTATGTTGTTCACTAACTAACCATGATTTGATTTGATTTGATCATATGAATTAATACAATGAAGGACGGAAAATCACGGGAATGAATACGTTACGTTTCGGAAACTTTACCAAAACTCTCCAAATAGTGGTTTTTTTCCCAATTCACGCACGTTTCCCGTGATTCCTATTTCCCACCTTTCCGTGCATGTTATACGAATATGAATATCATTGGTATATTTAAAAAATTGCTTGGATGGATGCAGGGAAATATACTCCGCAATACAGCTGGATTGAGAAAGAGCTGCCAAAGGTGAACCGTAGCGAGACTCCATGGCTGTTTGTGCTGCTTCACACTCCATGGTACAACAGCAATAACTACCATTACATGGAAGGTGAAAGCATGAGAGTCCAATTTGAGCCTTGGTTTGTCCAATACAAGGTTGACATTGTCTTTGCCGGCCATGTTCACTCTTATGAGCGCTCGGTACGCGATTAATTAGTTCCTTAATTTCATATTAAGCTCATTCATTATATCACTATTACATACCCCACTTCAATTCGTATATTCATTTGGTTTCAACGTTGAATCTCACATTTTCTGTATATATACTATTAGATGAAAATTGAGAACTAATGAATTAATAGAAGTAATAATTCATGATCTTAATATATACTCCATACAACGGAGTACGTAAAATCATCTGTTCTTTAATTCTTGCAACAGTTTGACTTTCACGTTTGCCAACACACAATTTTGACTACAAGTATATTTAATTATGTATTGGTAAACATTATAAAAAGTTAATGTTTTGGAAATTCACATTGATAGGAATTCAATAACATTTTATACATAATAATTTGATTATGTATATTAGTAGAAAATCGTGATCAAAGTAAGGTCTGAATAGTGCAAAAATCACAATGTTGCAAGAATTAAAGAACGAAGGAAGTACTACAAAGTATCATATATATCTATGATTATGTATTCAATGTACTATGTTAAAATATTTCTCACATGGTAAAATTCAAACTAATAGATTTGAAAAAATCAAAAGTAGATGGATGAGATCAACTTGAAATGCTACGTATTACAAATATGAAAGTGCATTTGTGCATTGCAAATGAACTGTGTGTAGGATTCATTAAAAGTTGAATTGCAAGAGTATGGTATAAGTTTTAAATTCCCAAAGTAAGAATAAAAAGAGTTGTCCAAAAATGCAAATGAACATCAAGTTATACTACGGAGTATGAACTACCTAATTCCATATTACCTATTTACCTGTCCTTGATCGCTTAATTAGGATATGATGTTCCAATGAACATAAGGTTAATTTTTCCCTCAACACATAAGTTATTGTTTGTAATTAAGATTTATATCTTTAGAAAACTCCTCAAGAGTTTTCCTAGTATGTAAAAATGGCATTTAAATATGACAAGAACAAACTGAAATTGAATAATATGTGGTGTATGTGTTTAGGTAGTATCTATATACGAAGTATAACGGAAGTAGTCCGATTTTCTCAAGAATTTCCAAGTCCCATAACTGCTTTTAAGCTCTATTAACTTAAACTGGTCATAAAGGAGCAACTTTACGTTAAGTATGAAATCTTAATTTTTGTATTTCTTCGATTTTGTGTAGGAGAGAGTATCAAACGTGGCATACAACATTACAAATGGGAAGAGTTATCCGGTGAAGGATATGAGTGCTCCAATTTACATTAATATTGGAGATGGAGGGAATATTGAGGGCATTGCCGACAAGTAAGTATTATACGGACTTACGGAGTATCTTTTATGACTTATGAGCCGTCTTTGATTCATAATATACTCCTTATTAGTGTTTTTTTCATCTAATATGTTCTGATTTGGTCTTATATGATTTGATTGATATGCTAAGTCTGGTGTTGTCTGGTCTGGAATTAAAACTCGTTCAATTGACATTTTAGATAGCCTTTTCTGGATTATGATGAATGCTGGTGTATATATGCAGCTTTTCATTACCACAGCCAGACTACTCAGCTTACAGGGAAGCGAGTTTCGGACACGCGCTTCTGGAGATAAAGAACCGGACACACGCGCATTATACGTGGCACCGGAACCAGGACGATGAACCCGTTGCTGCCGATTCCACTTGGGTGTACAACAGATACTGGTTTCCCCGTGATGAGAGCAGCACGGCGACTAGCAATTAGTTAGAACAAATGCTTTGATTGCTTCAATTATTCATTCAATTAGCTGATATTCAATTATAATTTTTGGACTGATTGAGGTACTTTTATGCAACATTTTTATGTTTATTAATCAAATATTTAGAGAGCATATATCCAGTACGAGTATTTTCAATCCCAATAATTAAAAGTTTAAATCTACACATTACAGAATATGCAGTAATGCAACACTTTTGTAACTGTAATGCTTTTAAATAGTTCTGCCGCTGATACAATGAAATGATCAGTTCATGCTTCATATATAAAAAGTGTAGGAGTACAATTAAGAGTGAATCTATTTAGGTCCCTAGCTCTTCATTTCTTCTATCAACATATTCTTACATGTGAAATGGACGCGAACATGCTTATTAAGATATTGTTGTGTGATCGAAGGAACACGAAATCAATTTTATTTGGATTGAAATTGTTAGCCGTGTATATTGTATGTGGGCCTGGGGGTGTGTGTATTATGGGCTAATAGTTTTGTATAGCTTATATTTTACCCTAATCTTATTATTTAACTTGTATAAATACTTTATAATACGAAGGAAATCGGGAGGGGAAAGTTAATCCCTATACTTTGTATTACTTTTACGAATACCACTACCTCCTTTTCAGCATGGTATCAGAGAAGGCAAACGGATTCACACACCATTTTTCTTCTTCGTAACCTGCTTCTGCCAGAATTCAAGGCAGCACCAGCGTGCGTGCCTTTGAGTACAGAGAAAGCCGTCGACAATCAGCAGCAGCGCCAGGGCGTCCGAAGGTTGATTCCAGGTGGCCGATCTTCATCGATCTTTGTCGACTGCTAGGCACCAGCGTGTTTCGGCAGACCGGCAAACATGGGGAAAATTTCATCGTCCTATTACCTTGACTCCGGTAATCAACCGGACAATTTTATTACCTTGACACCGGCGGCGGGCCATGGAGAGGGGGTTCGAACGCCACCCTATTGCCAACGGACAGAGGCCCGTTCACCTCGAATACGGTGGATAAAAATAGTGCTTTGGGTAATTTAAGCATTGAGCAGGTGCATGGTCTTCTAAATTTAATTAATGCTGATAATCGTTCTCGTGACCGAATGTCGGGTACGTATTCTTCACTGGAGTGGATTATCGACACCGGGGCATCACATCATGTTACAGGGGATGTCACTTGTCTAGCGAACCCTGTTACCATTACTTCGTGTCCGGTGGGACTGCCAGATGGGCACAAGGTGGCTGCGGTCGTGACTGGCCGGGTCGCTTTAGCCAAGGATTTTATTCTTGACAATGTTCTTTATGTACCGGGACTTCATTGTCATCTTATTTCCGTATCACAATTAACGGATCAAACTGATTGTGTTGTCACTTTTACTAACAATCTTTGTGCTATACAGGATCAGTCCTCGAGGAACCTGATTGGAGCCGGTGAACGACGGGATGGGCTCTTTTACTTCAGACGGGTACCGGTTTTGCATAATGTTCAGGCATCCGCAGGAGTTTCGGAGTTTGAGTTGTGGCATCGCCGTTTAGGTCATCCTTCTGATCGGGTCCTGAAATTATTACCTGCAATTATTTCCAGTTCTTCTCAGAAAAAATTGAGTAAAGCTTGTGAAGTGTGTCCGCAGGCAAAACAAGTTCGTGATTCCTTCCCTAGTAGCACTAATAAAGCCAGTAGAATACTTGAACTTATTCATTGCGATTTGTGGGGCCCGTATAAGACTCCGTCTAAATGTGATGCAATTTATTTTCTTACACTTGTGGATGATTTTTCTCGTGCTGTGTGGGTTTATTTACTGCGTGACAAAAAGGAGGTTCATCATCTTTTCCTGTCATTTATTGCCATGGTTGAGAAGCAGTATGACATGTTTGTTAAAGTTGTGCGAAGTGACAACGGGACCGAATTTAACTGCATGTTACCCTATTTTGATGCACATGGTATTCTTTTTCAGACCTCATGCGCTCACACCCCCCAGGAAAACGGGCGAGTGGAACGCAAACACCGTCACATCTTAAATGTGGCGCGGGCTTTGATGTTTCAGGCTCATTTTCCTATCAAATTGTGGGGAGAATGTGTCCTTGCTGCTGTACATCTTATTAATAGGACCCCGTCTGGCATTTTGAACAACAAGACACCCTATGAACTACTTAACGGGGCTCCGCCTGACTTCTCTCATTTACGAGTATTTGGTTGCCTTTGTTTCGCTCACAATATCAAATCTCGTGAAAATAAATTTTTTCCACGGAGCCGACGTGGTGTTTTTGTGGGGTACCCTCACGGTAAAAAGGGATGGAAAATTTTGGACTGGACCACGGGAGAAATCTTTGTTTCCCGCGATGTGATTTTTCACGAAGGTGACTTTCCCTTTCGGGTTAAGGCCCCTTCGACCGAGGCAACTCCTGTGCATGACACCGAAGTACTAACCTCGTCCCAGGTCATTCATGATGTCGACCCCATCACTATGCAGACGGATATACCTCCAGTTGACTCTCACTCGGCCTCAGCTGCTTCAGCTTCTGACCAGCCTGATGCTGTTCTTCTCGGTCGGGGAATGCGTTCCAAACGCACATCTGTGTTGTTACGGAACTTTGTCACACATCATGTACATGCCTCGAGCCCATCCCCGTCGCCCATCTCCTCTGTCAGTTCCTCAGGTACTCCTTATCCTATAGCTGATTATGTAAAATGTGACAAATATTCCTCTGCCCATCGTGGTTTTCTTGGAGCTTTACTTGCAGGTAATGAACCTCAATCTTTTAAAGAAGCTATGTCTGATGCTGGTTGGCGTGAGGCCATGCAGAACGAAATTCGAGCTCTTGAAAATAATCATACCTGGATTATGCAGCCCCTTCCCCCTGGTAAGAAGGCTCTTGGATGCAAATGGGTGTATAAATAAAATATCACTCTGATGATACTATTGAGCGATTAAAGGCACGACTGGTTGACTTTGGCAATCATCAACGAGAAGGCATTGACTACACCGAAACATTTGCTCCAGTGGCCAAAATGGTCACCGTACGCATGTTATTAGCTGTTGCTGCGGCTAGAAACTGGGCTCTACATCAGATGGATGTTCACAACGCTTTTCTTCATGGCGACCTACAGGAGGAGGTTTATATGAAGCCTCCCCCCGGGTTTACTCCCTCACGGCCCGGACAGGTATGTCGGTTGCAGAAGTCTTTATATGGGTTGCGGCAGGCTCCTCGGTGTTGGTTCGCCAAATTGGCAACATCTCTAAAGACTTATGGATTTCTGCAATCTTACTCTGACTATTCTCTTTTCACATTTTGTCGAGGCGATATCCAGTTATACGTTCTTATTTATGTGGACGACTTGATTATAGCAGGCAATAATTCAGGTGCTATTTCAAAATTTAAATCATACCTGCATCAATGTTTTCATATGAAGGATCTTGGTGTTCTAAAGTATTTCCTTGGTATTGAGGTGGCTCGTAGTGGCGATGGCATATTTCTTTGTCAGCGCAAATACACCCTGGATATTATTTCTGAAGCAGGTCTTCTAGGGGCTAAACCTGTTGCTTTTCCTATGGAGCAAAATCATGCTTTGGCTCTCTCTAAGAGTGATCTCTTCGCTGATCCTGAGTCTTACTGACGTCTCGTCGGTCGTTTGATATACATCTCCTTTACTCGCCCGGATTTAGCCTATGCTGTTCATGTTTTGTCTCAGTTTATGCAGGCCTCGCGTCAGGATCACTGGGTGGCGGCTCTTCGTGTTGTCCGTTATCTCAAGGGCACTCCGGGTCAAGGCATTCTTCTTCACTCTACTTGTGACCTTACGCTTACCGGCTGGTGTGACTCTGACTGGGCTAGTTGCCCTCTTACTCGACGATCTCTTACTGGTTGGGTCATTCCTTGGTAACTCCCCTATCTCCTGGAAGACTAAGAAGCAACGCATTGTGTCTCGTTCCTCCACCGAAGCCGAATATTGGTCGATGGCTGCTACCACGGCCGAGCTTAAATGGGCTAAGGGTCTCCTCCTTAGTCTCGGTATTTCTCACTCTCATCCTATGTCCCTCGCATGTGATAGTCGATCGGCCTTACATATTGCACACAACCCTGTTTTTCATGAACGCACGAAGCATATTGAGGTGGACTGTCACTATGTACGGGATGCTATTCAGGCTGGTTTGCTTACTGCTCGTCATGTATCGACCAACAATCAACTTGCCGACATCTTCAATAAAGCATTGGGCAAACAACAGTTTCTTTTCCTATTACGCAAGTTGGGCATTTTTGAACCGCATGCTCCAACTTGAAGGGGGGTGTTAGCCGTGTATATTGTATGTGGGCCTGGGGGTGTCTATATTATGGGCTAATAGTTTTGTATAGCTTATATTTTACCCTAGTCTTATTATTTAACTTGTATAAATACTTTATAATACGAAGGAAATCGGGAGGGGAAAGTTAATCCCTATACTTTGTATTACTTTTCCGAATACCACTACCTCCTTTTCAGCAGAAATTTTTAGTACGTCTAGTGTGAAATGGTCTGATCGGTAAATGTTTGGTATCATTGTATTTTATAACAATCCAAGTCTGTTCTAGTATCATCTAATCTTGGACTGAAAACAGTCCAAATAAAGACATTCCAAGTATGCAATGTTTACAGTGTAGATGATCACTTTGTACAAGACAATATACCAAATAGAAGGCCTAAAAAGAAAGGTTGAACGTTATTTTTTTTAGCTAAATTGATTAAAAGGCTAAAGGGTCAAATAAGCCTTTGAACTGACTTAGTGTTCAATTCCCTTATATAAGAGGTTCTGCCCGGCCGTCGCGAATTGGGGCGGTTCCAAATGGAATTTTTTTATGAATTTTTTTGATCATCTTCTTCATTAAGTCTAGTTTACCCATACCAAAGTTAAGCTAAAAATTCAACCAGGAAGGCAGTCAAATGATTTTCCGAAATGTACTGCGCTGTTTAACTTCGCAGTTGTCTTTAAAAAATCATTTGATTGTCTTCCCGGTTGAATTTGTAGCTGAAATTTGGTATGAGTAAACTAGACTTAATGAAGAAGATGCTCAAAAAATTTCATCAAACAATTTCACCGGGAACCGCCCCAATTGGCGATGGCCGGGCAGAACCTCCTATATAGGGGGCTAATTGAACACTTTAAATCAGTTCAAAAGCCTATTTGACCCTTTAGCCTAATTAAAATTACTGTAGAAGATCATTTTAAATGTTTTATATATACTTCGTAATATTTAATTTATTTTATTAATACAATATAGTATTCTAAATATAACTTTTTCATAATTCAGATTCAGACAATCGAATCATTTTGATAGCATTTCATCACTTATTAGATTCAACTGAATTAGACAATTTTAATTTTATAAAAAAGTTTTTATATACTTGGTGAAACACATAGAACCATAAGTCTTATAAGATACTCGTATAAAATAGAGATAATTCTCTAAATATGAACAAAACATATAGAAAGTGCAAAAATATGAGTGAACTTGTAGAATTTTCCAAACAGGGCTATTCTTTGAAGCTTGGACAAGATCACCCATGTCGGAGTTGCTGCTGGCCTCCGGAATCTGCCAAAAATTTCTAGATCAGTTATGCCGCCACCACTACCCCTTTCGTTGCCGTCAGTTCGGCAGCCGCAGATTCTGCCACCATTCAAAAAAACTCAGAATAATTATCAACATATTCTTACATGTGAAGAGGACGCTAACATGCTTATTAAGATATTGTTGTCGGATCGAAGGAACATGACATCAATAATGTTTTTATTTGGACTGAAATTTTTAGTCTAGTCTGAACTATTCTGGTCAGTAAATGTTTGGTGTCAATGTATTTTGTAACAATCCAAGTCTGCTCTAGTATGATCTAATCTTGGACTGAAAACAGTCCAAGTAAAGACATGCCAAGTATGCGAAGTTTACAGTGCAAAACACTACAACAACCAAGCCTTATTACTGTAGAGGATCATTTTAAATGTTTTATATATACTTCGTAATATTTAGTTTATTTTATTAATACAATATAATATTCTAAATATAACTTTCAGCAGATCCAGACAATCGAATCATTTTGACAGCATTTCATCACTTATTAGATTCAACTGATTTAGACAATTTTAATATTATAAAAAAGTTTTTGTATATTTGGTGAAACACTTAGGGCCATAAGTCTTACTCCCTCCGGTTCATAATCTCCTTGACACTTTGACTTCACAAGTTTTAAGAAAATAAATTTGACTTTACTGTATAGTATACTGTTTGACACTGTTTGGACACTGTTTGGAACTGTTTGGCACTGTTTGGCGCTGTTTGACACTGTTTTATGTAGATTTGTTTGCCAAATAAGGCAAATATGGAAGTGTAAAGAAGAATGTGGTACTGACAAAAAAGGAAAGTGTAAAGAAGAATGTGAACCGGAGGGAGTATAAGATACTTCGTATAAAATAGAGATAATTCTCTAAACATATAGAAAGTGCAAAAATATGATTGAGCTTGTAGAATTTTTGAAATAGGGGTATTCTTTGAAGCTTGGACAAGATCACCCCTGTCGGAGTTGCTGCTGACCGCCGGAATCCGCCAAAAGTTTCCAGATCAGTTCTGCCGCCGCCACTACCCCTTTCACTGCCGTCTGTTCGGCAACCGCAGATTCTGCCACCATCCAAAAGAACCCAGAATAATTCTGCCATCAATCTGACGAATAATTCTGCCATCAATCTGACACCGCCGTCGCCGGTCACCGCCAACAGACTGTCCTGATTGTCTAACAAAATTAGGGGAACAATTTATTAATTAGAATTAGAAAAAGAGTATTTGTTAGTACCCAACGATTGATAGATTTTGATGATGCCACTATACCAATAAATAAACACCTCCACCACCTAATAATCATGACTGATAAAATGTATCAAATAAAGTATACTGGAAACTTAAAATGCAATAAGGTAATTTTTGTTACCTTAAAAAGGATATTCAAATCCCACCAGTACAACTTTATTTGATACACAAATAAACAAAAGAGTGGAAAGTATTGAACGAATGCATCAAATAAATTTCTACTGGAAAATTAAAAATTCACTAGGGTAACTTTATTTTTACCTTAAGGATATACAAAAGATTCTTCCAGTACATAATTTACTTGATGCATAGTAACACGCAGGGATAAGATGCATAACAAAGGCGTAAAGCTAAAAAACATTTAATGCAAGGTTTGTACATGGGTCCCTAAAGATGATAAGAGATAGAAGTGATCTCTCGGAGGAAGCTGATCAGTGAAGATAAAAGGAAATCTCCTTATCCTGCTTCAACACAAAAAGACACGAGTACAACTCTTTCTGCGACTACGATTAATTCCTCTCAACCAACGGAGGAGATTAATCTACTGAAAAGGCCTATAAAAGTAGGCAGAAGCATGAGTTCTAAAATCAAGTTTTTGAGTTATCTAAGTAGAGTATTCACTTCAAACATTCAAGAGATATCTAGCAAAAGAGAAAGTGCACGTTAAACTTTGCTCTCTGCTTAGACTCATGCTTCACTAAGCTCTTAGACTAGATCATACACGATTACACATTTAGAGCTTAGTTTCTAGTTGGAGGTTAGAAATTTTCTTGCAAACAAATTGTTGTAAACACTTAGGAGAACAGTTGTTCGGATCCTATAGTGTGGTTAGATAGAGTACCTTTTGATCCCCACTGGATCAACTGAGAAAATTCTTCAGGTTTGAGTAACTTGGAGTGGTGTTATACTCCTCGTGAAACGCCTTCAATCTAGGCCAGAGTTGTCAAGGCTAGATTGGCACTAATTGTATTGGGCTGAATACTTTAGTGGAAATCCATTTGAAATAGAATGGGACTGGATGTAGGAGGATTACACCACCTCTGAACCAGGATATATCGTGTGTTGATTTACTTTCATACATGCAGAGCACACACCAAACACATCTCACTAAAGGATTGTAGTTTGCCAGCAGCATCCTAAGCAGTAGTCTTCATCGACTCTACTGCTTAGCCTACTGCTTAATAACTCACTCTCCTTGAGAGTGTTTTCCACTAGAAGCTGTCTTAAACTCAGAAGGTGTCTCAGCAGTACTCTGGTCTTCACCCTCCTGCTGAGCCCACTGCCCATCCAAACGTGTCTTTCCAAACCCCATAACAAGCCAGAACAAAAAGCCATCCAAGAGTCATCCTGTTCCTCAGCAGTAACCTGTCCTTCAGCCAACTGCCAACCCAGCAGTTGCCTGCTAGCCAGCAAACTGCCTGTGCAGCAGTAGCCTAAGCAGTGACCTTCTCACCAGTCAACTGCCAAGCCTACTTCCTCTCATAACCATTCTAAACACCATCTAAACTAGAAAGTTATCTCACACCTAGTATAAAGAGGTTAAAGACTTGCGTTGTGCATCTATTAATCTCTCAAAAGATTATAGATCAACTTATCTAGAGGGAAAAGTGATCCAAAGTTTAAAAAGCTTTAAAAGTCTATTCACCCCCCCCCCCCCCTCTAGACTTTTACCTCTATCCGGGACCATCAGTATTAGAGATGAAAATTTAATGTTTACGGGGAGTTAAATCCTATTTAGGAAAAGCAATATGTTTGACTCCCCAATTACTTTGTACAGAGTAAAATAAGATGAACTACCTAGTACAGTACTACTACCGACTACGTAGTATCTAGAATGAGGATAAATAAGTTTTCGTTGCAAGGCTGATTGCAATGGGTGGGGGTGAAAACCTAAATGTGAGGTTTTCACCCCAAAAGAGCTGCAACCGGGAAGAAATTTTGTATAGGAAGGAGTCACAGGGAGTATGGAGAACCTTAGGGGTGACTCCTGGACGGGCAATTGCCTCTCATGTGGAGGTGACTTGCGCAGTGGAGTAAAGAAAGAGCCCTCAACCATCAACGCGCTTGACAAGTTGCTGAGCAAATAAGTGGACTGAGTTGATGCGTGGGAGTTAGCTGCTTTGCTGCGGATGAAAAAAAGTGGGGTGACCTGGTTTCTTGACTTCTTTTTGGAGGAGGGAATTAATTAAAAAATTGGTTTGGTGGATATTGTAAAGTTATATTATTAATCAAAAATACGGAGTAATAGTTTTAAATTCTTTCAAAAAAAATTAATAGTTTTAAATTTAATTCAAATTGTACTCAAGTAGCCATTTTTTATACTTACAAAAAAATCACATTTTTTATTTTTTTATATCAGAATGTTTGACTTTTTAAATAATAATTATTGGTAAAAATAAAATTATCACATAAATGATGTGTAATAAAAAAAGTAAGGATTTAGGTATTTACTTAGAAAAAATATGTGCTGAGTGAATATATTGACAGTGTTGGATTGCAGAGAAAAACTGAATTGATTGGATGAATACGTTTAAAGTTGTGTGAAATTAGATTTATTGACGGGATGAGTGTGAAATTAGATTTATTGACGGGATGAATACTCAGAAGTTTGAAGGGTTTACAACTTTGTACGGAGTACTGGAGTAGTTTATAGTTTTATACAGTCCAGCCTTGAAACCTATCCCAGTTCTCATCGCACTAAAATCCATTTCATAAATGACCATTAATATGGACGATCACATAGAGAGGGTGCTCTGGACTGAACATCAAATTGCCGACCGAGTCTCCGGCCTCGCCTCTGAGATCACCCACCAGTTCTCTAGCGCCGCCGCCGCCCCAGTCTTCGTCGGTGTTGCCAACGGAGCATTTATCTTTCTTGCCGATCTTGTTAGGAAAATCAACCTGCCAATCACGGTTGATTCCATTCGGGTCGGTTCATATGGTTCCGGTACAGTGTCTAGTGGCAAGCCCAGTATTTATTCCGACTTGAAAATCGATGTTCAAGGAAAGCCTGTGGTTTTGGTAAGCCACTAAACCATTACAAACTTCTTGCGAAGTCAAAACTGCAGTTTCTGTGGATATTCCGTGGGCTAGAAAAGTGCTAGAAAAGTTTCAAGGAAAAGTGCATCATTTTGAAGTTAACTTTCTTCACTTTTCTTCCTAGCTTTAACACACTCCTTCCTCTCTAAATTAACTATCTGACTGAACAAGCTGAGTAACAATTTAAAATCACTTATGGCTGAGTAACATGTAAAGTGAGTTATTAATATCTGCACTTAAATGTCACTTATAAGTGGGACTTCATTCTGGAACAACAAGAGACTTAAATGTCACTCATATGACTCTTTGTTTGCTTACCTTATTTACTATTGTGATGGATTACAATTAAGGGCTTCTTGCAATCTCGCATAGGAGGTATTGAGAGTGATAAATTTAATGTTCTTTACCGTCTTCTTGTACAAATATGCACCTTCGATTTTGTTGCAATTTTATTCCTCCTTAATCTTTATCTCACCGTCATTGTTTCTCCGGGAAATAGAGCACGAATGCGTATATTTGAAGAAACGTGTTGCGTTTTAGTGTCACTCTAAATGAATTGTTCTGTTCGAATTTGGTTCACACCAACAACCACAGGTAGAGGACATAGTGGACACAGGAAACACTTTATCATGTCTGATTGAGCATTTGAAAGCTAAAGGAGCATCCTCTGTATCAGTCTGTGCCCTTCTTGATAAGCCATCCAGACGAAAGGTCAATCTTGAGCTGGTGGGGGATGGCAAGTTTTACTGTGGTTTTCAGGTAAACATGAAATGTATTTGTTGCCTTCAAAGATGAAATTCGTTAAACAAGGGCTTTGTTGGTGGCCGTTAATGAGTCTTCTTTGTTTGGTTTCTTCATGACAGTGCCCAGATTACTTTGTAGTTGGATATGGTTTGGACTTCGCTGAACAGTACCGAAACCTGCCTTATGTTGGGATTTTGAAGCCTGAAATGTACAACAATACTTGATCCATTCCATATTTTAAGCATAGCACGGTATAAATTGGGAGATGTTAGACAGAACTTTCTACTTGTATTTCTGCAACAGAAACAACCATTCCCCCTATTTATATGTAGTCAAGTTTTCTTTAAGCTACTTTACTGCAATGTGCTTATACTGTGTACATATCAAGGATGGTAACATCACGTGTAAACTTTTGCTTTCATTTTTATTCCGAAAAGGCATAATTAGTTAAGGGTTGAGAGTTTATATGTTACATGTCTATTGGGTTGGGTAACTTGGGTTGGGTTCGAGCTTTCTCAACCAAATTTCATGGAGCTGGTTGTAAAATTTCCACCTACTATTCCAACCCAAAACGTCTGCTCCCCTAAATACACCCACCTATAGGGCTCTGTTTGGATTGGATTAGGTAGATAATTCGACTCATTATTTTGATGGTTTATTTGATATTGTTAAGCAATGTGCACCCCATTTTCATTACAATCAAATAATACTGTAGTTCAAAATGGGTAAAATATTGGCAATAAGAGCATCCATAATAGTGTCAAGTTTTTTTAATTCATAGTGGGTGGGTCAAATCTTCTTACACGATTCAAATTCCGTTGGTTGTTCAATACCCCCATCAGTCAACGGAAGATTGAAGGATCTAAACCTTCTTCTTTGGAGTGGAAACAGACGTTCTTATTCTTAGGAATCGATTGAATCAGACAAGAGCCTTCAAGTGGAGTATATGAATACGAACCTTGTGAAACCGTACCCCTGAATAGTATGGCCAGTTAGCAAGTCTTATTCAATCACTCGCCTCCATTTTCTTCTCTTATGATATTTCAGTTAATAGAGATTTTTGCCCACTTAGCTCTAGCTTCAGCCGAGCCTTCATAATACATGCAACAATCTTTATTTCTTTTTTCTTTCTTTGTTATTATAAAAGGTTTCAAGTTTCAAGTTTTAACATGAGTGACAAGATTAACATCATGACACAACCTTACAAATATGAAGATCAGGTTCCGATAATGAAAACTGATACCCACCATGGTTGATGTCCTTGGATAATCCCACTGGATAACGGTATAAGTTTTCATTTTTTTACTTGATAAATTACTCCATATGTAACTTGTGTTGCTCAACAAGCATGATAACATTGAACAATAAAACGGCTTTTAAAAATTTCAAGACCTTTGTTTTTTTGTCTAAACACAGACATCAGACCTATGCCATTTACAGAGTAATCCTCAAGTCAACTCAAGCAAAAATAGAACAAAACTCTCATAGCCAGAGTTAATATTATCAAAAATGTGTTGGATTTATATCATCCTAACCGAAGTGAACCTGAGTCCAAACAGAACATAAGTTTCAATTTTCGAAATCGTTCACATCAATAGAGGTATAAAAACCTCGAAAGCAGGTAAAGATTTGTCAAATCCATGCAAAATGAAGTAAGTTATGAAGAGATTGATTTCCCTTGCGACCAAAATGAACAATTATTTCCCACTTCTGAAATAAGGAGTAATAATAGTGCTTTGAATAGAAAATACACATGAATTGTACTTGTATGATCGTTAAACCCATACTCAAATGAAAAACGGAACAAACCTCACCACATAAACCAATCATTCATTCATTCAATTGATCAAGCTCAGCTTTTAGCTGTTCAATCTTCAGCCCCATGGATCTCTGTACAGCACCCTTTTCTTTCTCAGGCAGCTTCGCCAGCAGGCCATCGTACAACTCCAGAACTTCATTGACAGCATTGCGTGCATATTCAGCTTCCTCATCGAAATACAGAGTTTCTTTAGATTCCATCGCCGTCTCTATGTCCTCCCTAGCTTCTGCGAACTTGAGGTTGATCGTGTCCACTTCTCTGTCTGTGTCGGCGCTGTAGAGTCTCAGATTGGGAAGAACCTTCAAGCTCGCCGGATGAAGACAACGAAGAGGGCTTCTTCCGGGTTTCAACAGCTGGTACGGCTCCGAAATTAAGGGTTGGGCTGGCGGGAACGAAGAATTAGGGTTTGCAAATGTCAGGAAATGGCGTCTGAGAACGGATTGGTAGAGACAGATTGAGGAGCGCCGGTACATCGTTGATTATTTCTGATGATTACTGAAAGAAATGGAGACGAGGGAGTGGAGAGAGCAGCCGTAATGGTTTGGAGTGAAGCCGAAATGGAGGGAGTGATGACTGGGTGCATAAAATGGTTTGGTTTAAGTGAATAGAATTGAACTGAAAAATTGATGACAAATAACTTAGAATCATAAATTCAATATTTAAAAGAGACAATATCAAATTTTTATGATAAATAAATAGGCTTGGACCCGATTCGGGCCACCCGGCCCGGGAACCAGCCCGGCTCGGGAACCGGGTACCGGTACTCGGTGTAGGCCCGGTTTGGAGGGGAAACCGGGGACGGGTACGGGCTGAGGGAATTGAGAACTGGCCCGGTTGGTTTCGGTCCCGGTTCATTTCAATTATTCTTTTGTTTTTTTTTTGGTTTGAGACTTTGGGTTGGGTTTAAATGGGCTGGAATGGGTGTTTCAGATGGGTTGTGTGATGGGGGGATGGGGGTAGGGGATAAAATAATCAAGAAAAAAATAGAACCGGACCCGGACCGGCACCGGTCAACTTATGGGCCGGTCCCGGGCCTCTCTGAATTTTTTTTTACCCGGAACCGGGGCCCGATTCAGTCCATGACTACAAATAAAAAAGGCAAAATTGGAAAAAATAATTCACTCTTAGATATTTTATAATAATAATCTCTGCTGAAAACTTTAATAAAAATAATTCGAAGTAACATTAGCATTCTCAAGAGTAAATTGAAGTAAATTCAAACTAATGCACATTTAATACTCTAATACTTTCACTTTTTATTGGGAAAATGGAAACTAATAATCCAACCTTTTAGCGGTCTTCTTTTAATATTCTCACCTTTTCGTTATTCATGAATAATCCAACCTTTGTACTTCATCTTCATTCACTAGTCCCTGACCGGTTGATGATCTGCTATTCCAAGTTATTTTCTTATCTTTGCAAAATATTATCTTTGTGAAAGGTGGAATTTATGGTATAATAGTTTGCAAAGATAAGAAAATAACTCGGAATAGCAGGTCATCAACCGGTCGGGGACCAATGAATGAAGATGAGGTGCAAAGGTTGGATTATTCATGAATAACGCAAAGATCGGACTATTAAAAAAGACCGCTAAAAGGTTGGATTATTTGTTTCTATTTTCTCCTTTTTATTTCATTACTCTTCGTCTCGATAACATTTCTATCTTCTGACCTAGAGAGGATCACATTTGGCAAAAATGAATTTGAGACAAAATGAAGTCTAGATTGAATTCAACATTTCAACCTGAGAAGAACACAGAGTTGGAGTAGGGATAGAGATTATTAAATGGACATGCTCACATGCATATAGTTTATTCTTATGAACATCATTATTATTTCGGATTATTTTTATGAATCCATTCGGTAGGGATTATCATTATAAAATCTCTCAAAATAGAGATATTCTTTTGAATAATGTACTAGTACACTATATTTCTAGGAGGCCCATTTGAGGCCAATCCCATTTAATGCTAGTCAACTACTATACCGTTTTGATATGATTGCCCATCTTTCTTTTTTGTTGATATCCTTCAAGGAAGCTCTCCCTTTTAGGGTACGTTTGGTTCAAGGAATGTCAGATAACCATGGGAATGTTAGATTACTGGATATGTTAGATAGATGGGAATGTGATTAATGTATAGCCTATTTGTGTTTGGTTACGATTAAGGAATGTCACATTAAGTTGTTTGGTTGAATGATATCTTTTATTGCATATTTGGTGAATTACTTGATGAATGTCCTTTATATTTTTGTCTCTTAACACATCAAATTTATCAATTATTAGAAAATGTATTTCATGTTTTAATTTTTTTTTCTCAATTTTCAATTGTAGTTCATGTTTCAAATAAATATACTTTAAGTTTTTATATGTATCACTTCTTGAATTATTTTTTAGACATGAATTAGAAAAATGTACCCGGCCCGGCCCGTTACCCGGGCGGGTAGACCGCCCCAAACCGGTACTGGTCAACAGCCGTTCCGGTCCTGGGCTTCATTCCCAAAAAGCCAAGCCCTTCCGGGCCCGACCCGGAACCGGAATCGGACTGGGCTCAGTCCACATCTAGATATTTCGATTAATGAAGCATAGGTTTTTTTGGAAGAAAATTAATAAGCCATCAGGAATTTAACATAACCTAAGGCATTGGTGGGTTTGACATGCCTGGAAATGTGATCACCTTTTCCACTTTTGGGAATGTAACATTCCCAAAAGAAAAAATCAAACCCGCAAACCAAACACAGGTATCTCACATTCCGGGCATGAGATTCCGCCATGCATAAGATATCACCTTGAACCAAACACTCCCTTACAAGAATTTATCATAAATGGATTGCAGCCTGATACACTTACAGGACTCAATTCAGCACACTTCTAACAGAGGAGAATAAGTTTCATCAGCATGGGAGAAAAACATATGCATGGGATCTAAATGCCAGCTCTCTCATATCTCCAGTGTCATCTATGACACAGCAAGGCACATCATCCTTCCCCCATTTCGTGCTGCAAGCCTGCAAAGAAATGCTCTTTCCAGGAAATGATTCACACCATTGTTGTTGCCTTACAATTTTATCAATATTTTTACAAAACACTATGTACCCCTGTCCTAGTATTGGAACCAGAGGAAGTGATGCGGTTATTAGAAAATATATACACTACAATCAATATAAAAAGGCCACCACAAGGACGTATAAGGGGTAAGCCTTCCCTTATCTAATTTGACAAGAGACCGCTCGCGAGACTTGAACCCGTTATCTCTCGGTGACATGGTGAAACCTTGACCGTGTGAAAAGTGAGGAAGGAAAATAAATTTACCCTACAACTATAAATAATCATGAGTCAAGAGTCTCAAGACCAAAAGGACTGCGTTCTGCATACATACATCAAGAAACCTTAATATTCCCTCTCGTATCACTTGACGATGAACTACGGCCCCGAAATCCGACAACATTTAGTTTTGATCCATTAGGCTTTTGGCTATCTGACTGTTTCTTCCCACTAGATGTCCTCTTAGATACTTTGATTGCTACTCCTCTTTTAGGCTGTTTTGATAATGGAGTCTGCGGTGATTTGCTAGAAAATGTCGTCTTCTTTGAAGTTTTTTTGACAGGTGGCACTCCTTTCCTGCTGCTGGTATTAGAAGAAGACGCTTTACCTGA